TGTTTCAGGGGCATTATTTAAGTGGACTTCTTCACTGAGAGGTTCAAGTTCATGAATCAAATACTATCTATACAGCAATGTAGCAAAACATTTGTTTCTTCCTCAGAGCCACTATGATTTGGAGTATCTTTTTTAGTTTATTCAGAATTCTTTCTAGCCTTTCAGATTGACGCATAAATTGCTGCCACCCACTGTTTATGCGGGCAAGTCAGAGGCAGACTTACACAACTCTAAGTTTGGCACTAAGGTTTTAATTATTGGGGAAGTTGTAATTGTCTCTAGAAATCCCCTATCATTACTACCAGAAATTTAGGGATGGCACCTGTTACTTCAGGTGGAAAATGGATGGCTCACTGTTTAATGAGGGAGGCCAGGTTTATTCCATGAAAAAGATTTTAAACAATTGATAACTTTTTTACCTAGCTAAAGAATCGCCACAGTAACCTGTTCTTTTCAAATCACTACACTGAATTTTTTGATACGTTCATTCCATAGATAGTATTCAAATGCATTATATTTATTTTTAGTAATGCCGTTATGCCAGATGACTTAAGTACCATATAATCTGTCATGACAGATGGTTGTAAATGTAACTATAAATAAAAACTTGTTTATTTGTAGGTGTTTTTATTGTAACAATGTTTGATGACTCAATCAATTTTTCATGCCTCTTACCACTTTCTTAAGGTGGATTTTGGTGTCATTTCATAATTCTAGCATTTGGCAGTGTAATAAACATTCCTTATTTTTTCATCCCATTCTTCAGCTCCATTCTTTATCTAGGAACCTGGATCTTAAGGATTTTCATTCTCCTGAAGTATTTCATACAATGATATTTGACTAACTTTTTGTGAACAAAATTATGCCTGTTGATAAGCCTCTGTATTTACTGTAATATTTTTCTCGGTATAACTAAGAACACATTAGAGCTACCACTGTAGTAGCTACTTGTAATAGTAACCCTATTTAATATAAATATTCTGACATTTAGAAGTCTCATTACGAATTTAATCTTGCAATAGAGCGAGTAAGCTTTTATTTTAATCCAGTTACTGCATTCCAGTAAAAAATATTCCCATCCTGAAGGCAACTACAGCATCATCATCCCCTTACATGCAGGATTTTGAAGCTATCTTGCCATTATTTCCCTACCATTTTCCCACAAAGGATAGGGAGGAGAAGGGGAAAGGGGAACTGACACTGTTTTTTACTTTTGCTTATGTTACCTTGTTGAATCCGTAGGAAGCCTCGGACAGTTGGTGCTTTTTAACTCCTAAATTACATGCCTGCCCAAAATAAAGCTAACTAGTATAGTAGTTAACGGTTTGGGCTTTGAAGTAAGATGACTTTTCTTCACCTTATCAAGCTATGTGACTTTAGGCAAGTGGCCAAATGTTTGTGATCCTTTGGTTTCATTCTTCATGTGAAATATAAATAAAAATCATAATATCTACTGAAGACTGTTGTTGTGAGGACTAAAAGTGATAACTGATGTCAAACATCCAGTATATATAATGCCTAGTGCCTAATTGTTGTTCAATAAATAGCGACTGTTAATGGATACAGTAATGTCTCAACACTATCAAGTACAGGAACCAAGCATTATATAATACGAGACGTAAAGGTAGTGCTCATTCTATAATTACTTTTAACTTTAAGTACCTTTAATTCTGATCTTAATCTCCATTAATAGAAGATAACAGATTTATGGATTAATGAACAATTGAATTATAACTTTGGCAAATTATGGACAATTATTATTTTTTCCCAATTTTTAGAAAATTATTTGAAAAAAATCAAGATTGATATATTGCAAAGATTGCACGTGTTTTTACAAAGAATCATATTTTGTCTGCTAATCTGCCTGCAAATACTTTCTGTGAATTTATGGACCACCAAAAAAATCCATAAGATAGTTTATTCTTCAAGTATTTACTAAGCGTCTGTTATGCACTCAGCATTGTAATCTAAGGGATATAATACTAAGCAAGACAGAGGTAGACAGTTTTACCTCCAAGAAAGTACAACTTACTGACTTCCTCTTTTTTTTTCTTTTTTTTTTTGGCCTTATTGTAATGAGTGGCTTGCTCTAATAAGCACAGAATGCAGAACTGGGTTTCGGTTTACTGACTAGGGAGCAATGATCTGGTTATTTACACTGAAGGAGAAAACTTTTTCTCTTTTTTATGGACCTGGTGATTATTGATGATGTATAGAATGATGTGCTTATAGTAGAAGAGAGCAGTATTAGGGAGGATGTGATATATTTGGTCTTTTTTACTTGTAATTTTATTACCAATTAAAATTTTATATATGGGTTTGCTGCTTTAGGCATGTTTTTTGTTTGTTTGTCATTAGCGTGACTATTATAACCAAAAATAAAAAGCCTGAGTGCTTTGAGCCTTACATTTAAAACAGGGTAAGAGAGAGCTGAATTGACATATATATGGCTATGAAGGAAAGCTGCACCGACACCTTCGTGTCAGCTTCTGTTCTTGCTATTTCACTTATGCTATTTTCAGTGTACCTTGAAAAGGTTTGAATTTCTTTTTTCCCAGCGTATGCTTCTGTTGTTACATTTTATTAACTGGCGTATTTTGATCAGCAAAAATATTCCTATGAAGCTTTGATTGTAATTGTAAAAGTGTTACTGTTTTTTTTTTAATTCTATGCTAAGAACTTGTGAGGTATTTAAAAATGTGGATACCTGAAACAAAACATATATGGATGAGTATTAATCCAGGATAGAATAAAGGAAAAATCTTTAAGCTGTCATGTAATCTCTTATCAGACTATTATATCAACAGTTATTGTATAATATTGCCACATAATGTTTCTGATTGATACTTCTATAAATAGTTAAACATGAATGACTCAGTACTATTTTGTAATTATTTTTATATATTCTATGTAGATGTTTTATAATTTCATATTAATTGACTATGCAAATATCAGCTGTAAGTTAGTCACTAGTGTTGATTAGAAAATATACTAATTTTGTTGTGATATGCAAAGGGTTAATTTATGCTTTTTACTTAGTACTGAGCAAGATTAATTTTGCTAGTACTTCTAAAATTATTGAATTGTATGTGCAAATAAATAGCTTTTCCTAAGGAAACCAGAATATTATTTAAATTAAAAAAAAAAAGTAGTATGGAATTACTTCCAAGAGTTTACCTCAAGGAAAGCATCTCTGATTTTTTTTTTAATAGCTGAGTAACAAACAAGTGTACCTGCACAGATGTATTTATACAGTAAATTTCATTTTATGCTTAAAGGTATTCTAGGTGTTACGGTCTCTAGTCTATAGTGCTAGAGCTATTATTGTGTTATATAAGCTATGGTTATATGTATTGTTGCATGCAGATCTTTTCAAAAAGACATTTTTAAATTTGTAATTATAAAATAAAAATTAATATCTTAATCTTTTTTCTTTTCAATTTGATTTGGGTTTTGTTTTTTGCAGAGCGCCCTCTTCACTACACAGAAAATGTGTTGGAGCAGGTGCTTCGGTGGAGTTCATTAGCCGAACCTGGCTCTGCTTATCTCGTGGTGAAGCAATTCTTAACCATTGACACAATCAGACACTACAGTGGTAGGTTCCATTATTTCTCATCACAGTGGTAGTTGAAAATTCAGGTGGCTAAAGGCTACTTATTATTGTACAAGTGGTATTTGAAAATGTAAAAAATGGGTAACCAAAAAACAGAATCTACTAACAAAGTAGAAATTACAAAATCCTTATTGCTGTAGAGGAAAAAGAAGAATATGTAGATAAGACTACCAAGTGTCAGAGTTAGAATTTTCCTAGTATGTAGCATGAGGATAATAGTTGACTAATTTGATAGTCCCCAGATAAAGGTTTTAGACAGAATGGTTTGTGTTTTTAAGGAATGTTTGCAGTGCTTATGTGTTTTCCTAATTTTTAGACTGATGATGAGTCTTCTTCCCAAATTATGTTTATATTTCAAAGTTCTGTAGGCATTCAAGAGTACAAGCTTGCGAGCTGTGCAAGCTCTAAGATTCAGTGCTTGCTATAATTCTCACTTTTTCCATGGTGATGTTGGGAAAGCAAATACACACAAAATGAAATACTTCCAGAGAGGTTACTTGCTATTCAATGGAGAGAAGACATATGCACATATAAGCTTAAATTAGAAATCAGCTAGTACAAGTGAACCATGTAAGACAGTCTGTGAACCTGAAGGAGATACTAGAAAACTTTTATTTTCAAATTCTTTCATGCTTGCTTTGTATGGTCATTAATTGACAGATTAGAAAAAAAAAATTTCTGCCCTGCCAGCACTGTATATAAACCAACACCAAAAACAAAAGGATTCAAGCTTTGTAAAATGAAATTTACTGCAACTTTTATAATTAATATTAAGAATCATTTCTATTTATTAATCATGTATTATTAGCTGAGCCATATACACACCAAAGCTCATTTAAACTTTTTTCACTTTCCTGTGGGTTATACTCTCATTTGAATTTTACAGAAGAGTAAAGAGAAACTTGGAGAAGTTAAGTGACTTGCCCTAGATCCCACAGTTAATAAATGTTGAATTTGGAAACAGATTGGTCTTATGTCTAATTACAAAAATGCAGGAGGGGGATGGCACAGCTCTTAAATGCTATAAAACTATTCAATATGATTGCAGGGTCTCTAACTAGTAGCCATAGGTCAGTAAGCTCTTAATTATATCAAAGCTAATCTGATAAGTATCTCTAATTTCCTGATACTTTTCCTTTATATTTTAAACTTACATAAAAGTATTTTTTACCAAATGCAAACAAATAACAACTATGTCATTTTAGTCTTACTAGCATCTAAGTAAATGGAACAGATGTTATTATTTTTCCTATAGAAATTTAGCCTTTCAGAAAACTTTATCTTAATTTCCTTTATTACTCCTACATATAAGTTTGCCCACATCCTCCTCAAACCTTCTTTAGGATTCCAGTAGACTTTCTCTCTAGTTAAGCACATGTGACACACATCCATGGCATAAAGCAGTGGCTCTCAACAAGGGGCAATGCCCCCCAGAAGACATTTAGCAATGTCTGGAGAACTTTCTGATTGTCACAGCTGAGGGGTTGTCATGGATTGAGTTGTGTCCCCCAAAAATATCTGTCAGCTTGGCTGGGTCATGATTCCCAGTGGTGTATGATTGTGTAATCTGATGTGTCTCCTTATGTGTTGTAAATTCTATCACTGTGATGAGGTTGTACTGATGAGGTTGACAAGATTAGATAGTGTCTTAATGCAATCTCTTTTGAGATATAAAAGATAGAAGTGAGCAGAGACACATAGGAACCTCATACCACCAAGAAAGCTGTGCTGGGAGCGGAGCGCATCCTTTGGACCTGAGGTTCCTGCGCTGAGATGCTCCCAGACCAAGGGAAGACTGATGCATCACAAGGACCTTCCTCTAGAGCAGACAGAGAGAGAAAGCCTTCTCCTGGAGCTGATGTCCTGAATTTGGACTTGTAGCCTACTGGACTATGAGAGAGTAAACTTCTCTTTGTTGAAGCCATCCACTTGTGGTATTTCTGTTGGAGCAGCACTAGATGACTAAGACAGGGGTGGAGGTGCCCCTGTGATCTAGCAGATAGAAACCAGGGATACTGCTACAATACACAGGACCGCTCTTCACAACAAAGAATGATCTGGCCCCCAATGTCAATAGTGCCTAGGTTAAAACACCCTAAGTTAAATAATCTATGAAATCTGTTCTAGCTTCAAATTCTATTATTCTTTCACTCTAATATTGGGATAAAGAAAAAGCATGGAGCATATGAACCAAGTCCTGTCATCATTTTGAAATACATATGATAGATTCTTTTAGTTTATTTTCTGAAAGAAAATAAGTCATGCTTTCAGGTAAGTTTTTATCTTTCTTATGAGATTTTTTTTGTCTAATTGTCCAGTGAAATGTTTCTAATTCTCCACACTGAAAACTGTTTGAAACCTTCACTCAAGATATACTATCTTAGATGTTGTTTGAATGCTGGTAGCCTGGTTATGTAAATAAAAATTGATAAGAATAAGATCATAAAAAGCTGTGATATAAAGGTTTTGTACAAGGGGCTGGGGAGGGAAGAACCAAAACAAGGATACCATTAAATCAGTCAATGCTGTTGGTCTTTGGGGAAAAAAAAAAAAACAACCATGTACAGAGAGAGCTGATTTAGAGTGGTCACATCTAGAAAAAATCTTTATGTTAAGAACAAGAAGAAATGGTAGAATGACAAGTGGTACATTGGCTCTATCTACAATGGAGCAGGAAGACTGGGTGTTACAATGATGCCTCACATATTCCTGAGTATCTTCTTTACGGAGATAAGAGAGTCCTTCTGTTATGAAAGCACCAAATGTCTCTAAGGCCTAGATATGCCATCTTGCATATGAACTGGAGAACTTGAGGGTGGAAAGAAAGTTGCAGCCTTATTATTTTCAGGGATTTGGTTGAAATATTCTGTAGAGTAACAATGTCAGCAAACTTACATGTTGCTGTCTTATCTCCTTCACACCTCTAATAGGTCAGAAACTAGGAAGCATATTCCTGTCCCTGAACCATCCCTGCCTCATTTTGCCAAACCAGTATGCAGCTTGTTACTGTAATAGCTATAGTTTTCCAAGAAATTAGGTCTTGTTGCCCAAAAAAAAAAAAAAAACAGGTCTTACAGTAATACTGTAAGCAAACACATTCATTAGACCATTTCATATTCATAGTTATGCATTTCTGCTCAAATATAGCAGTACTTATGAGGTAAATGTTTAAACATACTTTTAAGCCCATAAAATATAAATGTTTTTAATTAGAGCTTGATTTATACTCAGATTGTCAAAGCAAAATAATCTCTCTTTTCATTATGATTGAGTCTGCTTTTGCGTGAATATAGGATTGCCATTTTGAAGAAGCTTGGCCATTTTTTTTAATCAGTTTCTTTTTCTTATAGTTTTATTTTGCAGTAACCTGGAGCTTATAAATACCTCTTACGGGGTATACTTTGTGACAGATTTTGGGTTAGTTGGATATTCAGTCTACTTTGCCTCTGTCTTGGCAAATGTCTCCTAAATCAATCACAGTGACCACCTACTCCAGAATTATTGCTCCATTCATTACATCCACTACACTGTAGAATTGGAATCTAAAAGGAAAATAATGGAAGTAAATCAAATGTGATTTATCTATCAATTTATTAGCAGAAAAACTGGAATCATCTCAGAAACTCTTTACTGCTCTTCACAGCAGAAAGAGAACAATGTTAAAGATTTCTTTTCCTTTCTTAAGATTTTCTTATTCTCAACTTGTGGGTGAGGTGACAAACAGCAGAGCTTCAAAACAAGGGTAGTTGGCTGCAACCACATTTCCTCTCAGTAACAAATAGCTAATGTGGGTGTGTATGCAGTATATATGTTGTTGCTTTTAGCTGCTGTCGAGTCAGCTGACATGTGGCTATATTATATACAACAGAACACAACACCTCCTGGTCCTGTGTCATCCTTACAATCACCAGCATGTTTTTGTCCATTGTTGCAGCTCTGTGCCAATCCATTTCATGGAGGGTGTCCCACGCCCTCCTTGGCCCTCTACTTCACAAACATGATGTCCTCCTTTTGCAATTTATCCGTCACATGACATGTCCAGAGCAAGCCAGTCAGATAGTGTTTTGTTGGGGTCTATAACATTTTCATTGGCTAATTTTCAGAAGTAGATAGCCCGACATTTCTTCCTAGTCTGTCTTAGTCTGCAAGCTCCACTGAAACCTGCCCATCATGGGTGATCCTGTTGATCACAGTGACCACCTACTCCAGAAATACCAGCATCATAGCAACATGCAAGCCACCACAGTGTGACAAACTGACAGATACTCACACACACACACACACACACACACACACACACACACTCTCATAGACATTTATATGATTACATTTTACTGATTGATAGTTTTTTTTCTATTTATGGAAAAATTATAAGCATATAATGTTTTTGTTTGATATGTTTTCACCATTGTCTTGCTAAATCAAAATTTTATCAAATAATATGTCTATTGCTGTAGTTTAAAAAACCATTGCTGTTGAGTCGATTCCGACTCATAGTGACCCTATAGGACAGAGTAGAACTGCCCCATAGGGTTTCCAAGGAGTGCCTGGTAAATTTGAACTGCCGAACTTTTGGTTAGCAGCCATAGCTCTTAACCACTACACCACCAAACCAAGGTTTCCCTGTAGTTTAGGGGTTGTTATTTCCTTTTTTTTTTTTTTTTTTTACTTTATCTGAACAGTTTAAAACGTAGACATCACAAGTAGGAAAATATTTTAGAATAATCCACACTGCATTTCTGCTCATCCATTGAAGTTAATGAGGTAACATACTTTACTTTTACAGAAGTATATGGGTGTAAATGAATTTTCTCTTGCCTCTACGTATGTATGTATGTTATGTATTCTCAAAAGCAGCATTTTATTTCTTAGAAACATTTTGTGCCACTGCCATTATTGTAAGGAGAAGTTAACTAACTTGAAAAGAAAGATACTAGTCCTCAAATTTCTTTTCTACTCCATGGATTATGACTGAGACATTG